AATAATATATTTGTATTTTTTTTTTACATCCGAAACTTCCAGACCTTAATTTTTCTTCTGCCTTGAATTTTTCCTCATTTTTTGCTTTATGTTATTTTTGTATATTGTTTTCTTTTTGCTTCTTTGTTTCACAATTTTTCCATTTAATTTTTGTTTTTTATATTTTTGTATGTTAAAATTTTTTAATACACTTGAGAAATCGCACATGACACAATCTATTTCCAATAAATTAATTTTAATTTTGTCTTTTATAAATTAATTCATCTATTTTCTAGTCGGACTGCTAAATCGTTATAAAACTTAGCCCCTTCTTCCAGATTATTCTTTAGCTCTTTAAATGCATCGTATGTGAAAGCCAATTTACAAAGCATCGCCTCTCGCGCACTACCGCTACCGGTATAGATCTACCATCAATTTCCTGAGCTTAATAACAGTATTACTTTCTTGAAGAGCAGAACCTTGCGGAATAGCCCTAGCAAGTTCATCCTCGTCCAAACTTAAGATTTCGATCCCTTCTGTATGTATAATAAATTAACTTTCTTTTTTTCTACTTTTTTATCTTTTATTGCTTCTATCATGTAACTGGCCCTAGTAATATCTAATGAGAAATTTACTTTTTCTGTGATCTGCTAGTTTGTGATTGCTTGAAGGCAGTTGATTTGTACAGTGTTACAGAATTTCTGCCGAAAAGCGTCAAAAGTTAATAATAATAATAATCAGTTTTTCTGATTGTATCAATAGTATAGTTTATTTTTATAATGCTGATTCAATTCCTTTCATTCGTTGATTGATATTTGAATCTGTGTACGAATAATTAAGAGATGCGATATGTTATCTCGTCGCGATGTTAATCGCGCAAGAGTGGTATGCTCCCAGAAAATGTATTTCAGAAGGCTTTTGATGTAAAACTGTCAAATGCTGAACGGTCTGGAAATCTCGCTACATTTTTTCATCTCTTCCAATTTTTTTCTATTGTTTATTTTCTTTTTCCTTTTAATTTTGTTTCACTTTTCTCTCCACTTGCTTTTACAATATTCGTCTAGTACGCAATCTTGCACATATATGCAGTAAAATTACTACATTATTATTATAAAATGCTGCATAAGAATACATAAATCTTTCTCTCGTAAAAAATAAATGATGAAATATTGCACATTTTTTCATCGCGATAAATTAATAAATAATAATAATCAGTTAATTGAGTGTTTAATAGTCGTGTGAATTCACAATTTTGACATATTTTAATTCTTCATTTCATTCTAATAGTATCTTATTTCAAATTATATACACGTAAATGTATATTAATTTACAATGACTATTACAAATGACCTAAAACAATTTTAAGTAGAAATGTCCCAAAGTAATTAATTTGACATATTTAATTAATTTAAATGTTTAAATGTTTACTAAAACTAAGAAAATGATTAAATATAGAGAAAAAAATTATATAAAACATTTATATAAATTTGGGCCAACTTTTTAGATTCTTCACTGTGCGTCGTATATGAAAACACATATTTTTGGACTCCCCTTCCCCTTATAATTCCCTTATTAAAACATGTGATGCACGATCAATAAAAAAATATTGAATGTATTTAATTACGTTATAACAGCTCTCTGTCGATTTGATCATGTACAGGTAGCTTCAATAAAGTTGTATTAATAGCATACTCATTCTTTAGGATTTCTATTCATGCTGGATTAAGTTTGTTATTAGACCAACTTGAGCAGATTTTGGGCATCCAACAAATAATAAGCACTAATTCTGTGAATCTGACGCAATTATCTTTTTTTATATAACAAGAAACACTTGTTCCATTAAGCGTTCAAAAATGTATCAATGTTTCTCAGACTGAAAGGCAGAAAACTGTCACTAATAATTTAAAACATCATCTTCTTATCTTCGGCTGAAATTTTCATTTCCTTTTTTTTTTTTCAACTTTAATCTTAAGTTGAAAATCAAAAGTTACTTAGATGATTGAGAACGTTATTTCAGTACAGTTTCATCACACAAAATCCGTCTTCATTTTGATTGTAACAATATTGTTTTTTCGAATGTGAAGACTCTATCTCAAATTGCTAACTTCTAACACTGTAAGGAGACGTGTTCTAAGGTTAACAAAAATCACGACAAGTGACACTATTGGGAGACTCGATATAAAATTCATACGTCAAACATGCCGATTTATCTTTCACTTTGAGGAAAGGAGTGACAAAGAATGCAACAGCTTCCGTTCTCCTAGAGAACTCTCGGGGCACTTTACAGAATCGTCCTATTATTTGTCGCAGTAGATCATATAGTCTTAGCATAGGAGCAATGAAATACTTCTCCAATGAATTTCTCATTTCGGTGTTTAGCAAAACTTGATAGTTAGAATTCGAATTGAGACACAAAATTGATACGCATGAACATGTCCCCGCTAAAGCAAAAATTATATTAGTATATTACCAGATCATAATTGTAGATTGTACTCGTTGATTCGTCCCGTTGAAGATCGATAATTAATGTAAATGATTAAAGAGTGTAAATACAGTACTTAGTTAAATACATTTTATACGCGTTGACAATATCTGAATAGCTATCCATATTTTATCGGTTAATAACCGAATTGTTAGTACGTAATTTAAACACCAGAAAAGATTCTTCATTTCACTATTAAATTGTGAACTATTATCGCGACGGAACTCGAAAACTAAAGCAGGGATATGCTCTTACGATATCGATTTTGATTGGAATCTTTGTAATCGAAGTTATTCAATTCTTTTGTAAATCAGCGTTCATCATATTATTTGCGTAATCAACGCTAATAAATTTTATTACAAGCAATTTAATTTATAAAACGCAGTAACTCTACTTTTGCTATAACTCGTAAAACGACTTGACTTCTATGGCTTTCCGTATAATTTGACTTTTTATTTGACTTATCAATTTTTAATAGTTTTTATGTTTATATCAAATAACGGTACGCGACACTGCATAGTTCCTTTGTAGTTCCTCTGCATAGAAAATTCAGAACGCATGATAATACAGTATTGTGATTTTAATATAGTCCATTTCTCGCGCTGAGTCAGAATTTACGATAATTTTTCATGCGGAAATTTCAAATTGTTTCATGCTTGACTCATGTTATAATTCTCGGCGTTGATCAACTAGTACTTCTACTTTTTTACGAAAAATACATCAGCAGAAATCGTTCTCCAAGTTTATATTTAAGTTACATATTAAGACACGCATCAAGGGCCAAGATATCCGATGCACATTCGCAATTCAGTTAGTCAAACAACCGGCCATGAACATGGCAAATTTATCCTCTAAAAAACGCGAATTTCTCTCAGCATTTTTCGATCGCATTTGACCCGCGCCACGCTGCTACATATTGCTAAATTTCTCTTCTCTCCTTTATACGTATATATAAAGAATACGCATATATGTGTACTTCTATTATTATCATATACGTACAATCTATTAAATGTGTTGTCAATGAAATTAACTTATGAATTATATATATATATATATATATTAGTAGGAACAATTTCACAACGTACCGCGTCGTGCACGTTTAGCGGCGAATCTTCCGGTGAATTAACTTTTCCCAACGCCTCGCGAAAATAGAAAAAGTTTCTGCCGCGCCAAAGAACAATTACGTGCGCGCGAGCAACGAATAAACATTCGTCGCGTTGTACGAGAAGCCGTGCGTTTAAACGTGCATTTACGTTCAAACGTGTCTCTCGTCGCGAGATCACGGAATAAGTTTAATCGCCCTTTATCGTAATTCGTTATTAACTGGTGCAATTTGCAATCTCGAAAACCGCGTCGATTTTACTCCTAACATTTTACTCTTGACATATGATAACTATCGTATTTTTTTTCCTATCAACAACAATCAATATTCTGAACTTAAATCACTACTTAACTACGTCATGGCAAGCCCAAAAATACCTGTCCCAAAAGAGATGTTGCATGCAAGAAGAGATGATAGGACGAAAGGGTAAGGCCAAAGAGACTAAAAGTGGGACTGTCATTCCATATTAAATTTCTCTTACTTTTTTTTAAGGTTACTTGAAAAAAAAAACAGAATATAAGCAATAAATTGCAATTGTAATTAGTAAAAAATCAATCGCGTATTAAATCAAATCTTAAGTGAATTGACGCACGTAGTCTATGTAGATCGATATTAAAATGGTTGAGATACTTTTCTTCAATATTTTCTTCATTCATCGGACTCTAATATTTAATTAAAAAAATTATCTCGAGAGACAATCTTTTTTCAATCCGAAGAATTCATTAAATATCGAACGCGTATATAATCGAGTGCATTGAGGCTTTATTCACTACTAACGTAGTGGCAATTTAATTGCGCTCCAGTTTCGCTTCGCTCAAAAACTGCCTTTCAAGTCAAAATAAATTTAATGATTCAATTACGATTGTATTTCTATCAGCTTTTCAAAATGGTGTTACTTAGACTTGTTCACACTTCTGATAAATTATATATTTAGTATTAAAAAAATATATTTTGTTATTTAATACCTATTTTTTATGTAAATAACTGCTATTTCTTAGTTAAATAATAAAATTATTAGTTATATATACTTTTTGCAAAATTCCCTAATTTTTCTTAGAGAATATATTACTTGTTTTAAAACTAAAAAATGCATTTGCTCAAGTAACAAACTGCAATTGAAGTATTTAGACCCTTTCGAAAAGTAGATACACTTTATAATTACTTATTTAAGTATAGCGGATCTATAGATAATGATATTAGTGAGAGAACAATATGATGTTGTTCTGATAAAATATTCATCTTAAGAATCCAACATAATCGGGAGCAAAAGTTGAGTAAACTGATAATGTGAACATTTATATTTAAGTTCCGCTGAAGAATATGTGATTGGAATAAATAACTGAAACACAATTATTACCGTACTTACATCGTGAATAAAGCCTATGATTTCTGATGCGTCCGCAGTTACAAGGATATTTCACGATCAATTTTTTTTTCTTTTCGAGCAAGAGGCAGTTGTGTGCATTAAACATCAATATATTGGATACCACGGTATACGACCAATGATAAATGACATTCCCTATTTCCGAGAATTACTCATCATTTAAATAAAGATAACAAAAACATCGAATTTTCGTAAAAAATCTTATCGTTTAATAATGATAATGTTTATTCTCTATGATAAAAAAAATAAATTATGAAAGAAAAGATGCATATTTGCCTTCGGGGAAATTTTTCACAAAACTGAATGTTATTCATATATGAATGACGTGGCATTCATATATTAATGCGTTAATGCATTCAGCCATATATGTGCGTGCAGTAGATACGGCAGGACACTGTGTCACTACGCGCGTTACCCAAATAAAAAAAGTTAAAGGTGACTTAATGTCATCCGAATGTTTCTACAAATCTAAGCGATATATCTAAGAGTGTGTTCAACATTTATAATGATATAATAATAAATATTGTTAATAGCGCGCTTAATTTTTAAGTCTCTTAAACTTTCGGAAAATAAACAGCAAAATTGCCTTGCCTAATCATCATATTCGATATCTTGAATGCTTGCAGCAATTGTCAAACCTTGCGATCATTGTTGTTCTGCGATCCAGCGGCGTACTTTACCTTTCCTTCGTCTACTGAGATTCGACTTAGCCTGTTCTATCATCTATTATGTGCACTGAGGTAGATGGATGGAATATTTGTGGCGTATGTGTGAGTGCTCCATCGCGCACACGCGCTTGTATACATATGTGTCTGTATGTATGTATATATGTGTATGTGTGTGCGTGTAGTATACACATATTTGCATATGTATCTGACTTTGCACGTATACATATGCGCTTATTTGCCGTAGTGGCAATTAAATGACTCTAGTCCAACAAACAAGCCTGTCCACGCATCATCTGTGTCATCGGTGTCAGAATTTTGGAGACTTTTTGACTCTTTGCCTGACATTCAATAAACTTCATAAACCATTTCGCGCAATAATAGCACGTAATTAGAAACGATCGAAAATCATCGGTCGATTCCTCGGATGGACGTCTGGCACACTATTGCCTCCCAGCTATAGCTTCATTAAACATAAATTGTCACGAGCGACAATTTATGTTGCCGCGAAGCGAAGATTATCTCAAAGAACTGTCAGTAGTTCAAAGATGCCCTTTGCAATTAGTTAATCTACGAGGGAGGAGTTATTCCTTTATCACTTCTGACTCCTCATTCTCGCTAAATTCGTCGTCATCCACACCTGACGATTCCGCTTCATCGACAAGTCCGCTATGTCTGTCGAAATCCTGCCTATCCTCGTGGACGACTCCAGAACCTCGACCCTCGTCTCTGCCGATCATAGGATAATCCTCTAAGTTGCGACTGCCATGCTTTTCCATATTTATGCGCGCCATCTTAGCGGCGTGAGCTACGGCGGCCGCATCTGGACCAAGTCCTATCGCCGATAGACCGGAATTCTCTGCAATAAGCTGCAAATAGGTGTCCAAAAGGGCCGAGCCAGCAATCGCGCTGTGGCTTGGATGATGACTGCCATGTGGCAGCGGTGCCATGTTGAGATCACCGTTACCATGCATGGAATCCAGGGACTTGGTGGCGATCATTGTCGAATTCTTGCTATTGCTGCTACTGTTGCTGTTGCCGCTTACCTTAGTAATGACGGTGTTCGAAAGTGGCGAATTGTACCTAAGGCTAAGATCTTCCGGATCATCACCGCCGCAGCTGTCCACTTCGGACGCGCCTGCACGAGGTGGTTCCAACCTCATGTCGCTTCTTCGAGATGCTGTTGGACTGGCTCGTGCGCGGAGTTCAGCCGGACTCACCTTGACTCCAGCCTTAGCCAAAAGACGGGACGCCAACTCGGGATCAAATTTACTGGGCATCGGCATGACTGGAAGATCTTTCGTGCTGATGCCCCGATGTTGTCTCGACATGTGCGAATGTAGAGAATTCCGTGATTTCGCCACCGTTCCGCACAGAACGCAGCGGTATCCCGGACAGACCGTGTGTTTGTCTTCCAAATGGGTGCGCAACGTATGTGCTGAACGATACATCTTTCCGCATTTCGGACACGGCCTAGGATCCGTAGCACGAACTCGAATCATATCCAGACTTCGTCGAGTGACTGAAAATAAATGACGGATGTGTGAGAGAAGTATTTCATGTGCCCATTATGAGAGAAAGAATGTTGGATTAGTTAATCAGCATGTAATTGAATGATATAACAATAAATTATTTGATAGGGATAATTTTGATTAGCGACATTCTAAATTTTATTCTGTCTCTTTTAAAGAAAAATCCATTAATTTCGTAAATAATTAAAATTAAGGATGTCATGTAATTGATAGTTATAACTATTCATAAAAGATTGTGGAAATATAATACTCTGAATTTCTCTGAGTACTTTTTATTGTACAAAGCATTACTTAAATAGTATAGACTTTATTTCGTACATCTTATTTATATATATATATAATATATATATATATATATAGAAGCTAATATCTGCTAAAATAATATATACGGTATTCTATACATTATTCATGTTACGAGCTGTCAGCCAGGAAGAGAAGAACTCAATAATACATAATATTCAACAAAAAAGATATTTTACTTATTACAGCGCGGATACTTTGCATTCGGTTTTCTAAACAATATATCATGTAAGTTTTTGTGCAAATTTTGCCTTAGAAACTATTATAATTATACTATTTATTATATTCACAGACACTTCCCTTCGAGATCCGCAACTAACAACTCGTACATTCACAGAAATATATATAAATATACTTCCTCGTGTTCATTCGCGGCGTATCTCTCTAGTATGCACGGTTTCGAATGTCTTTTGGGTTTCGAATCACTCTTGACCTAAGGAATACTGATGAAACGTAAGACGTAGAAAAATAAGGCTAGGCATTGTCAAGCGACCGTACTTCCGGTCAACGTATTCACTCGCGATCCATTCGCTCACACAGACCCGCCATATCTTCACCATATTTTGCGTCATACGCGCCAACATCTCTCGCACAATTCACGTCGCGCAATTTCTTCGCGGTCACTATTAGAACAAACGGATCTTTAGAGCCGATGGACCGCTCGGTTTCGTCTTCGGCGTGCGCTCTTCGTTCGGTTTCTAACACTCTTAGTACTACATTATTTAACATAAGGCTGGCTTACTCAGCTTAGAGGAACATTGTTTTCTCTCTTATATACGTAATCTAATTCTTATATCAATGTGTGGCGTACGCCGGATGTCGCAGTGTGTAAGAGTATCGCTTCATTCTCTACGGCGTGACCTACGCTTCAGGCTCTACAGGAAATACTGTTTCGTACATTTTATACAAAATCGACTCTATGTATATCTCTTTATGTATACATATATACGCTCAGTACAATAGCTTTATATATATATATATATATATATATATATATATATATTTATATATATTTATATATTTATAGATTCTCTCCTTTGTCGATATAATCTCTCGCATATGTACAATGTGCGCTTTTCGTTAGGGATAAACTTCACGGTGGGTGCGTGTGTGACAGTTTCGAAATAAAGCACTAAAGTTCGGTTGTCACCTTTGCGCATTTCGTATCACACCGGGATATACGACTTTCTCCCAGCTAATTCATAATAATTCGTGCGTTCAACGCGTTTACCAATTTCGTTTGCTCTGGAGTCTCTCGATTCTCCAATATCAGCAGATATTATAAAGAATCCAACTTCTGACCAGACTCTCTTCCAAATAGCGCGGCGATAACAAGCTTGATTTGATGTTAATTTGGTATTTATTTATTTTTATAAAAAATGCTGAATGAGCAAGCCTAAATTTCCTTGTATACACGAGAACAGAAATGCATAGCTATCTGAATTTACAGGAATATCGGAGCATATTCAAGACGTGTTTCTTTCTAAATATTCATGCATTATAACGTTATCGTTTCTCGAATAATCATCTATCATGAATATAGAAAAAAAAACACGTTTTAAATTTACTCCAATACTTTTAGAGTTTAGAGGGCTAAGCACTCCTACTCCCGTGTATGTATATGGGAAATGATTGTCAATTAATATCCATTAACAATAAATGCAGATATTCATTTAAATACATTATTTTTTCTCGTACATAATTACTAATTATTAATGCAATTAATATTAATAATTATATAAATTTATATAATTATGTATATTATAAATATATAATTATATTAATATAATTATTAATGCAATTATATTAATAATTTATATATTTATTAAGATACTTAATACCGTACGAACCTTTGCATTATTAGATTAATGTTATTAAAAAAAAAAAAAAAAGTGTATTCTCTCTTATGCTATAATTAACAGCAATTTCCAACTGTATGTGTGTGTGCGGAAAGTTTATTCTAATCTATTAAATTATTACTTATTATCACCGCGCAATTATCACACAAAAAATAGGGCCACATCAAAAGACAAAAAGTAAAGTTTCTTTGGCAAAATATTTCTGGGAAAGATTAAAGTTATTGCACGCGAATCAGAGTTACTAATCCTCGCCTATTCATCAGACATAGGTCCATCTCAAGGTCTTAATCTGATCCCATTGCACAGGATGCTTTAGTCGCATATGGTTTCTGACACTGTTTGGGTGGGAGAAGGTTTTGGCGCAGGAGGCAACGGGACATGTGGGTGAGTCTCTGGGATAATGATGCTCCAAATGCGCCCTCATAGCGCTGATATCCTGCAACGTCCTGCAGCAGAGGGGACACCTGTAACCGTGCTGCCGATGGTGCTCCCGTAATAATCTTTGCTGCCTGAAGTCCGGTTGGCCACGCTGATATTTGCTGGTCGTCGTGATCGTCGTGGTGGCCGTGGTGGAAGATTGATTAGCCGACGTGTCGTCTTCCAGTTGCACCTGATGACGGTGGTGAGGAGGAGGGACGGATAGTGGATGATGATGGCGATGCCGATGATGTTGCTGGTGATGGCTGTGGTGGTGGTGGTAAGCCGCGCCCTCTGCCTCATCAAGCCCGTGATCTGCAACCACCACCACACCAACGTTACCACCAGCCACCACCACCATAATCCCACCCCGAGCTAAACACGATAATGCTATAACGCGCCCAACCTCGATACCCAACGGTGTTCAACATCTAGAGGTATTTCCCGCAGCGGTTACTATTATATCGTGCTCTTACTATTTGGAATCAACCGATGGCTAATTGTTAATGGTACGGGTGACCATCAGCGTAACGTGTCTATTATTTAACATAAAGTGACATTTTTAAGCTTTCAAGAAAAAGATACATCATTACTTCATTATGAATAATGACTATCTCATTAGTACTCGACAAAAATTTTAAAAATTTCGATTTATGATGTTTCCAAATTCGCATATTCTTTTTTAGATATTTATAGAATATGATGTATTTTTGCGATACTAATTATCACTATGTATTCGAAATAATTTCACATATGCGAGACAGTCCTCGGAAATTCAACACGAAAAAGTTGCATTACACCATTAAAATGCTCGAGATTTCTCATTACTTATGGCATAGTAACGTTCATAACAAATAGATACACGTCACATTATTTGAGATTATGACAGATGTTGACATATAGCTAGGATAATCATAATTAGATATTCATAATCTAACGAATTCGATCCAAATCAAATTCTACAAAAACAAAAAATATGATATTGTTATAAGATCTTTTACTGGATAACTGCCCTTTACTTCAATGTGGTTGGAAGGAGTCTGGCATCGTGCAAGAGAAATGTGGACAATTAACACTGCCATTTAATCATGTTCTTTAAATGGGGGGAAATGGGAAAATATTAACATAAATTCAAGATCTCTTTTACTACAAATAGCTGGATTTTCGGCGAAAGGTGGCGGAGGTGTTCGAGGTTCTAAATTCGCAAACAATACTAATCGAATACGCCAGGTTCTTCACAAATCTTCTGTCGTCGTCGTCTAATTATAATTACGCGTTCGTATGATTATTTAAGATTATGTTTTCGGGCAATATTCGTATACTCATTCAGTATTCATTTCGTATACATTAAATTTGATGCATGATTTCTGGCGTAACGTCGAAAATTTTGCCATGCTACAAAAATCTCAATATTGATGTTAGCGTTATTTTCGCTTTATATTGGACATGCATTTCGTCTGCTGCATTACGAGAACTATCAATAAAATACTCAGTTCGATAATCGCATTAGTTCATTTGTCGCGGTCAGAAATAATTTTATGTGCCAAATGGAATTGAATACTTCACATTATTTTTATTCTCTTATTAATCCTATTTCAGTTATAAAAGCATTATTAGAACTCCTAATGTTATCAATATCAAATCTAGATATGACATATCAAATGTCAAGATAAATAAAATCTAATCATGAAATTAATAAACAATATATTATAATAAATAAAATCATGCGCCATGCATGTTAGGAATAAAAATAAATAAAATTTTGTTTTATTCAACAATTTAGATAATAAACGAATAACATTGTGTAATATTTAGAATTTTGGTTGAAACTATTGCGGTACATATATTTAGAAATTACAATATAACTGGGAAAATGCAATCTCCATTCCTCATTAATGCCCGAAAAATCGCATTCAAATAGTCCCTACTGCTTTACATATCCCAATGTTTTGCATTGTTAGCTATAAAAAGCAATGGGTTACAATTCTATAACGAAGCCCTAAACGGATTAAACAAATTTCAGACGGGCAATTAGCACAACGGCGACGATTGCAGCTGCAGCAGTGACGAAAATCCCCCGTTACGATTTTCAACAGTTCTATCAAACGCGTAGCAACCCTCTCGTGTTTCCAACCGCGATATCGACTAAAGCTTTTCGACAAGTAGCGAGGATTTGATCGCGTTTGTATGCGCTTCCAGACGATCATCGGACGATGAACGTACTCATGGCAACGAGGACGAGGACGGTGACTGATGCTGCTGCTGCTGTTGTTGTTGTTGTTGGGTAACGGGATTGTTCATACTAGGCCTCTGATGGATACCGTGCGCCTGTAGCTGATGATTGATCAGGTAGTGTTTGGTCTTGCACCGCTTGCCGCATACATTGCACTGCGGCCATGTGTCCGGCGGCGGCC